AGATAGATAGATAGATAGATAGATAGATAGATAGATAGATAGATAGATAGATAGATAGATAGATAGATAGATAAATAAATAAATAAATAACAAAAAGTTCTCTTTGAAGTATGTACAGAACAAAAACCAAGGCAACAGGGAGTCTGCTGGTTGGAAAAGATGGCAAGATAGACTAGGAAGAGACCCTGTGAGTGCTAGTCTTTCCTTCAGCATGCAAACTTCCTGGGTGACTGGCCAGCCAAATCCTTTCAGCCCAATCATAGGACTCCAACTATGGGGAGAAGGTTGGATTAGATGGCCTCCAATATCCCCCACATCGTGTGGTGGGATTCAAATAATTTAACAACCAGTTCTCTGCCCTAATGACCAGCTGGTAGGTGGGGATCAGTGGTCATATGACTGGGTGGGCATGACTAACTCAACGTCACTCACATCGACGGGTGCTTTGCTTTAGCCGTTAAAAGATAATAAGGGTTAACCGGAGAGGCAGTTTCTGTGAGCAGGGCAATAAAGATTAGGCTAGAAACAACACCAGAATGTTTCCTTCCTGCCTCCAGGATCTTTTCCAGGATTAGCCCTGGAAAGTGGGAAAAAACAAACTGAGTTTTCTTCCAACAACCGATTCTCCAAACTGCTTAGAAAGTTAACAACCAGTTCTCCCAGATAGGTTCCAACTGGTTGAATCCCACCACTGCTTGCATCCTATATTTGGAAGTGGAAGTTGGTTTGTTAGGATATGAATAACCATCCCTAAACAAAGGAAGAATGAAAATACCTCCCTCTTTGTTGGCCATATGCTGTCTACATAAGCCCAGACATTCTTGGGGAGAATACATCCCGCTGACCGAAGAACTGTTGGTAAAGCCTGCAAGAAAATAAAAAAGGCAAACTTTCAGTGTTGCAAAAAAGAAAGCTCCATATTTGGAAGTAAGGTTAATCCAGTGGATACACTTTTTATCAGCATTCCTTATGGCAAGGTAAAGATAAAGAAGTCCCTGCAGATTTTATTCTGCAAATCCTTGCCAACTATAGGGGATGGTGCTCATCTCTGTTTCAAGGCCATTGAGCCAGTGTTGTCTGAAGACATCTCTCCATGTGGCCAGCATGATGTTACCCTCCCACCGAAGTGGTACTTATTTATCTACTCGCATTTGCATGCTTTCAAATTGCTTGGTTGGCAGGAGCTGGGTCGAGGACAGGAATTCACCCAGTAATGGTTGGCTATTCTTTTCAGTACCTGTTTGGTAGTGGGAGCGCATGTACAGAGGATCCATGATGATGTCAGGGTGGGTGGGCAGAGCTTCACACCACCGCCACTACCGGTTCNTGGAAGGGACCTTTGAGGTCTACTAGTCCAACCCCCTGCCTAGGCAGGAAAGCCTATACCGTTTCAGACAAATGGCTATCCAACAACTTCTTAAAGACTTCCAGTGTTGGAGCATTCACAACCTCTGGAGGCAAGTTGTTCCACTGATTAATTGTTCTACCTGTCAGGAAATTTCTCCTCAGTTCTAAGTTGCTTCTCTCCTTGATTAGTTTCCACCCATTGCTTCTTGTTCTATACTTAGGTGCCCTGGAAATATTTTCGGGGAATGGCTTATTTTAGCGCATGCGCTCAAAAGCCCGATTGGTCTTGTATTCTGGGGAGGTCTTATTTTCAGGGAAACAGGGTAGAAACAGTACGAGTTCAATGATGGAACTACTCAAGACAATAACTTCGAAGCAGCAAAGAATACATTCACATCGTTGCAAATACAGGTGCACACAAGGTAGATACAGCGTGAAGTGTTCACCAGCTTTTTATCCCCTAACACAAGTTCACTTCCCCCACCACACCTTTGGCTCAGCATCCTATCAAAGACATCTACCTTATATGGTACTTACTTTCCCCACCCCCCACCTCATCTGTGTCATATCTACAGTTAAACCATAACCTAGTTTTTGTTAGCATAAGCTCTATTTTTATCTTTGTGTTTCCTCTACTTGCGGTGTCAACTGATATGTAGTTGTTAACTGCTTATCTAATATCAAAACAGCTCAGAATTTTCTTTATAGAACATAAGTTAAGCATTTACTTTAGAAACAATAACAGTTCCATTTTTAAAAAAAATGACACTGCCCCAGAAGGCTGGCCCTTCCCTGTGTGCAACACCTACTGGAAACACACACAGAGGTGGAGATTTCAAAAGACTTTATTCTGCACAAAAGAAAGACACAGGGATCACTCCTACTAGGCTGGCTGGAGAATTCTGGGAGTTGAAGTCCATAAGTCTTAAAGTTGCCAAGTTTGAGGACGCCTGCCTTAAACAGTACATTTTAAAAGATTTATTTGCTCACTATTGTGGTCTGCCAGCAGCCTGCAGAGCTGGCAGCAGAGTTGAACAGTGAGGAGGTTAGGGAGGAACATGGGCCAGTTCTGGAGTCTGGGGAAGGCTCAGATGAGGGCTCTGTATCAGAGGCAGAGAGGGAGCCAGGACTATCTGGGAATTATGTGCTGCCTCTGGAGCCTCCAAAGTCTGACATCAGCAAGGCAGAGGAACAGGGGGAGTCTGTTCCCAGTGCGCACATGTGCAGAGCTGCCAGAAGGAAAGAACAGTTAAGACAAAAGGCGAGACTTGGTAGTAAGGCTTGGAGATGACTGCCCCCTCCCATAAGAAATAAAGGAGGAGCAAAGGAACATGAGCCTTTGCAGGAAGCAACTTTGTTCATTCTGGTCAGTTTAAACTCTGTGCTCGGTTTGACCTTGCAAAGCTAATTGGCAATTAGGTCTTTGGCAGCATTTCAAGGGAGATAAAGGTAAGTGCTTATCAGCCTTATCCTGAAAAACTGTAGCAGACTTCTGCTGGACTCTTTACATACTATTTGGGACTCATTACGGACTGTGAATGAACATAATTCACAGCCGTTGAAATAAAAAGAGGGTTTCTGGGACTAAGCATGTGCATTTTACTATCTCAGGAAGCCTAGATCAGAACACTCACAAGCTCCATAAGCCATCCCCTAAAAGACCAACCCACTTCCATCCCCTATATTCAGTAAATCAATATATAATTTATTATTATGTAGGCAATTCCTAGCATTTACTATCTCCAAGTTCCCTTTTTTAATGAGGTCGCCTTACCCCATGGCAACATGTGGGGTTTCATCAGAGCAAGCATTTCTGAGGGTTTTACTGACCAAGCTGTTTTCGTTACCTGATCCCACCCCACCCCATGAACTAGCAACTGGTTGCAAAAGATCTGAAAAGCAAAAACAAGAATTTCTGGCAAATGCGAAATTTTTAGGGTCTTTTGGACCTTTCCTTCAGTAGGAATTTCTAAATAAATCAATATTGGTTGTACAACAAACAAGAATCCATCAAACTTTCAGATATCCAAAAGAAACAAAGGAAGAATCCAAAGGGAATTTTGCTATTGTGCTTTAAAAATTATTTAAAAATTATTTCATAGCAAGGAGTCCTGGAAAGTATGTTCAAAATAAATGATTTTGTTATATACATACTCTTTTGGCTAAATGCTCTGGTTTTGAACCTGATAATCCACTCAAGATCACCAGAAAATGAACCAATAAATGATCAATACACTAGTCATTGCATTGATGAGAGGGGTCTTATTTTCTACAACATCAATTGCTCTGCGTAGAAATTTATCAGAATTCTTCTTGGCACAAATTATTAGGGTTGTTGTTTTTTTTTGCCTGAATGATGTGTGAATTCTATTCCGTATTCCATCATTCACAGCTGTTCTATTCTGTCATTTATTCAATTATTCCATAAAGTTGCAAAGGACGATGTAAAATAACAACACCAAATGAAACTATGGAATGATTCACCTCAGCATCTGAAGAATCCTCCAGTTCGGTAAGTCTTCCCAATCTGGACTTTTTCTGATTAACGCTGGGGCTTCCAAGAAGTTTCACTAATGACCCAAACAGTTCCTGGAGGAAAAACCCTACACACAATTACAGATAGTCCTTGACTTATAACAGCTCATTTAGTGACCCACCAAAGTTACAATGGCACTGAAAAAATGACTTGTTTTTCACACTTAGGACTGGTACAGCCATCCCCACAAGAACTAGTAATTTCAGATTTTGCATTCTAGATATAGCAGTTTGAACCTGGAACAAGACATCTGTGCTGCACATTTAGCAATTTCTCCAGTGGAAAAATTTAATCAAAGGCAGTTTCTATCTATTATGCTGCAAAGAGAAAAGGAACTTACATAAAAGACCATTTTTACGCTCTGAGACTGACACAGCGGAAAGTTTTCTTCTTCCTTAGAAAGAACATACAAATCTTAAATTATTTTTTCATTTTACTTTATCTCTTTTTTAGTGACTAGTTTAAACAAAAGGATCGTCTCCTGATCTTTTCCCCTTAAATCCATCATCAAAATCAAGCACAAACATGCTTCCGACTATTCCATTCGGCACTAGGACCAAATAAAGATATTTCCTAGACTGCTCTAGCTTTTAAATTTCCCTTTTCTTGAAGCTGGAACTGAAATTTGCACCTAAGAAATGGCACATTGAATTCTCCATTGGAGACTCTCTTTTACCAACCAAATGTAGGCTAAATCTGACCAGAGAAACAGATAGAATATTTATGCTGATGAATAACATTAATATATTTTGTTTGGGTGTGTTTTGTGACAAAGACCCAGCTTTTATTATTTATGCTGATTTTTGGCATTTAGGATCTTAAGCAGAGGTGGGCTTTAGCCGATTCAGACTGGTTCAGGAAAACTGGTTGCTAATTCTGCCCAGTTCGGAGAACTGGCTAATCCTACCACTGGCTGACCCCAGCCCATTTTTCAGCCGTTTTGGGGCCATTTTCCGGCCATTTCTGATTGTCCTTTGGGCCATTTTTAGCTGTTTTGGGGCCATTTTTTGAAAATACAGTTGCCTTTTGGAAAAGCACCTTTGGGACATCATTTCAAAACTTCCCAGCCAAGATTCCGACAAGCAAAATCAAGGGGAAAAGCCACATTGGCTTCATGACCACAAGATTCACTTAACAACTGCAGAGATTTACTTAACAACCATGGCAACAAAAGATCATAAAAATGGGCATTTAACAACTGCCTTGGCTTAGCAAGAGAAATTCTAGTTCCAGTTGTAGTCATAAGTCAAGGACTACCTTTATATTTTTAGATTGCCTTACTACTATTCCTATATTAAGAATCTCGTCACATTTGATGCAGCCGAGAATGCACAGGGGACATTTTCCTAAATTGAATTGGTACCCTCCATAAAGAGAATATCTATAATCATACTTCCACAGAAATGTTTTCTTCTGCTGGCAGACAATCCATATTTTCTTTNGATGGATTCATTGCAGTTTGTTTCTCTTTGCAGACACCACTTCTTGCAACTAAGTGCATTTGAATTGCATTATGTAATTATATATTTTAAATTTAACCATGATGGGTAATGTTCTAATGACAGAAGTGGAATAATGGAGAAATTGCACACTCCTTCTAGGGGCACAAGAGTGGCTGTACTAATATTATGTAATTCAGGACATCAGGAAATTGTCTGCTACCATCACTGCATCCCAATGTGGAATAGCACTAAAATATGTTGGCCCTTTTTGGTGGCATTATGGGCAAGAAGAGGAATCAGAAGGTAATTCCCATTTCAACTTAAAAAGGCAGGTGCCCAAAATCACATGGGCAAAATTGACCATTCTGTGGCTGAATTTCAGCAACAGGTCAGGTCTTGCTGAGAGGCTGCAAATGGGGTGTCGGTTGTGCATCTCACAAGTAGCCCATAGCTGATTCAGTTACTTAAAGCTACCACTACCAGAGGGATCCTTCAGAGCACTCTGAACTTGGTTGTTTTCTGCAAACATTTCATTACACAACTAGGTAACATCTTCAGTGCTAGACTAGCGCTGATGTCCTAGCACTGATGATGTTACCTAGTTGGTTAACGAAACATCAGCAAGAAAACAACTAAGCTCAGAGAGTACCAAGGACCACACCATTCAACTCTGAGCTACAAATATTATCTTCTATAGGTACTACCCCTACCTGACAGAGACGAGGACCAAAACCAGAAACAGGATATGCTTTGGCTACAAACTGCTTCACACTGAACGTCTGGATAAGCCCATTCCAGATGACTGAGTAGCTGGACTGCTTTGCCGCGGGTCGATTTTGGTTTGCAGTGCTAACAAAGGCAGACCTAAAGAAAGAGAAAGAAATCTGCAAACCATGGTCTGTTGCACCAGTACACACCAGCTACTTTGGGCAGAGGTGGGTCACTACTATCGGTTCGCTTCGTGCGCGTTTTGCATGAGCATACACTAGATGCACGATGCACGTGCGCACACACTTTAATGTAAATTGTTCTTTGCGCATGCACATTACTAAACAACATGCTGGCAATGTCAGTGCCAACTGGAGAATCAGTTCAGGGGCATGGCCAGCCTGGTTACTGCTGGTTCTGCAACCCAGGCCAAAATACCACTGCCAGTTCGGCCGAACCAGGCCAAACCAAGAGGAACCCACCTCTGACTTTGGGTCTTCCTATTTCATTTCTTAATTAATCACTATGGGTTTCCACTCAATTTTAATATACTAATATTTCTACATAATAAATTTTGAATAGAAATGACTACTGAAAGCTAAAGCACATTTAATAGAGATTATCTAACATGGATCCAATTGAAAGAATCACTTTGTCATAGTTTGCAGCAATCCAGCCAGCACACAAGCAAATAATTCAGCAGGATTCATTTATAGAAGAAACTTCTTTATATACAATAATGTAAAACATGATGCATGTATACAATGCCCATGCAGCTCTTGCAACATGGGAGAAGTAGAAGTGACAAGGATAAGAAGCAAGGAGGCAGAGCACTCAATCAAAGACAAAAAAAACTTTTATATACACAGAACAGTTAAGCTAAACCATGTCCAGGCTCCAAGTAGTCTCACATGGCTCACAACAAATCCTGTGTCTCAGTCTCCAAACAGTTCCCATTGTCTGACTTGTTATTATGGCTATTCCAGTTCATAAATTCTTACACACTGACACACTTTGATCGTGAGATGGGCAGCATATAAATTTAATGATTGAATAAAATTAAAACTTAATAAAGAAATGCACAACAGATGTACTTGAGGGATGGTCACAAAACAAGCAAGCAGAGAGATGAAAGATGGGTTTAATATCTAGCTGCCAACTGCGTGGCATTGACCAAAAAGATCTAACCAGTTTCTTCCTGGTTTTGCTGATACCTTCTTTTGCCAAAATGCAATGCATTGGGCTCTTTTGGCCAAAGGACAAATGTTGACTTTATCTCCTATTCAAAGCCTGGAGAGAAGAAATAAACAGGCACCACATTTTCTTGGTTCAAATATCTTCTTTTCAGAGAGAAGACAGACCAATTTGCATGGGATGGAAAAAGGAACCACTACTCCAGCCTTTTAAATCTCCATTAAACATGCTTCTTGCTGTCCAGAAAAGAATATGGAAGGCAATCAGCCATAAATTAGGAGAATAAGTTTGCAAAACGCAACCTTACCTGCTAAGAAACTCAAATAATTTAGAGATGACCATTAGATGAAAATAAACAGTGCCACATTTTGCTCTGGCTTCACTGTGTTTGACTTTCAGTATGTGTTCCCCTCCTGAATGTGATAGCGACTGGAAATTTGGGGGCAGGAAGAAGTTTTGTCATTACAAAACTCTGCCTGGTGTCAGCTTGGATGGTGTCCAGCCACCAACGTTTTTTGGCAGCCTGATTTCCTTTTACCACTAACTCTTCTAAACACAATTGCTTTCTCCAGGGAATTCCCCCGCATGACATGGCCATAGCAGAGGTGAAATTCAGCAAGTTCTGACCAGTTCTGGAGAACCAGTAGCGGAAATTTTGATTCGTTCAGAAAACAGATAAATACCTCTCGCTGGCCCCGCCCCCATCTATCCTCTACCTCCCGAGTCCCAGTTGATTGGGAGGGAATGGGGATTTTGCAGTATCCTTCCCCTGCCACACCCACTAAGCACACCCACCAAGCCACGCCCACAGAACCAGTAGTAAAATAATTAGAATCCTACCACTGGGCCATAGTTAGTGAGTTGCAGTTTCATAATTGTACCTTTTAATGATATGTCTGGTGTTATACACTCCAGTACTTGCTTGTTAGTCAGCTGAGAGGCTGGAATCACACAGCATTCCTTAAGATTTCTGGAAGCTTTTATTGAAAAGGTCAAGACACTCAAGTAGTTTAGGTTCACAGAATGTGGACACATCATTTGAAAATCATAAATTGAGACAGACCTGCCCTCATCCTGAGGTCTCTTGTCAATCTCGGAGCATGTGATGTTTTGATGCAAAATCTGAGAGGGATTTGCCTCCTGCTGAAAAGTAAATTTATAGGTGGCCGGCTCAAACAGCCGCTCATTGTCAGCAGCCAACTGTCCTGCAGAGTCAGAAAGAAAGATACTTTTAAGTGTTGTTTTCAATTACAAGAAGTTCTCAACTTACGACTGCAACTGGGACCCCAACTTCCGCTGCTAACAAAGCCGGTTGTTAAGTGAGTTGTGCCCAATTTTACAATTTTTTTTGCCATAGTTATTAAGCAAATCACATGTTGTGAATACATTATGAATCAATCAGTTTAAGTGAATACATGGTTAGTACCATATTTTTGGAGTATAAGATGCACCAGAGTATAAGATGCACCAAGGTTTTGAAGAGGCAAATTAAAAAAAAGGTTTTTCCATTTTACAAACCTCCCAAAACGTTTTCGTTTCTCAAAAAAAGTGCATGAAAAGCCCTTAGGAAGATTGTAGAGTGCTCCTGGGGGTGGGGAAACAAAATACGAGCAGAAAACAGCCCATTTTTTGTGAAAACGGGCCAGTTTTTCACCAAAAAAAGGGCATGCATAGCTATATGGGGGCTTATAGAGTGCTTTTGAGGGGGGGGCAAAATTGAGCAAAAAACGGCCTGACCTTTGCTCATTTCTGCCCTCCCCAGCCCCCAGGAACTCTCTAAAAGTCTCCATAACGCTATGCACGGCCATTTTGGTGAAAGGGCAGGGCTTCAGGAGGCAGAAAATGCTGTATTCAGTGTATAAGATGTACCCAGATTTTCAGCCTCTTTTTGGAGGGAAAAAGGTACGTCTTATACACTGAAAAATAGAGTAAGTGATTTCAGCCTTCCCCCATTGACTGCTTGTCAGAAATTAGTTGGGAAGGCCACAAATGGTGATCACATGACCCAGGGATGCTGCAACCATCGTAAATACCATATTTTTGGAGTATGATGCACCCTTTCCCCCCCCAAAGAGAGTGAAAATCTGGGTGCCTCTTATACACTGTATACAGCATTTTTGCCTCCCAAAAACCCGCCCCCCTTTCGAAAAATGGATGTGCAGAGGCTTTGGGAGGCCTGCAAAGTGCTCCTGGGGGCTGGGGAAGGCAAAAACAAGCAAAAAATGGCCCATTTTTGCCCCTTCTAGCGCCCAGAAGCACTTTTCAGGCCTCTCAAACTCTCTGCATGCCTCATTTTTCACAAAAAATGAGGCATGCAGAGAATTTGGGAGGCCTGCAGAGTACAAAAATTTTACCTCTTCAAAATCTTGGTGTGTCTTATACTCCGGTGCATCTTATAGTCCAAAAATTGGTACATGCTGGTTGGCAAAGGTACAAATTTCGATCACATGATTTTGGGTACTCTACAACTATTGTTAAGTGCAAAGATCAGTCATAACTTTCCACACAAAGACTACCTGGGTATTTTAAATGCTCCTAAATTTTAAATGTTTCAAAACCCATGTTCAAACGCTAACATAAAAAGTTAATAAACAAATATACAAACAGCAAGCCCTGAAGTTTGAGATGCACTGTATCACTTAAATTCCATGATTGACATTGCTCTATTTATTATTTATTCAAAAAACATCAGTATGTCTTTCTGGTTAAAAGGACTGGACCCTTGCAAGGTTGGTTTTTCTTCTCCAAATCATCCCACGCTCCCTCTGATAATACCATTCCCTGGTGGAAAAAACTGATTCTGAAATGAAGTAGTAACATAACCTAAGAAAGAGAGGCATGGTCATGCCATCACCTGAAGGTTTGCAGACTCCCCAAAGGTGGTTAAAAAGAAACCATTTGAAAATCAACATTCGGTTCCATTCCTTCATTTCAGAATGACAGTCAGTAGAAAAACAGCCCGTAGATTTTACACCAAAACCTGGAGCTAGTTGTTTCTTCCAGCCCCTAGAGTGGCTTGAATGCAAAATTCTGAAGCACCAAAAGCAGTTTGTGAGCCTCCCCTACTCTAAGTTCCAAATACAAATAAAATAAATTCCAAATCTTTTAAAGCACAGGAGTACTTAGAATCACTTGGAGAGTTGAGATTGTTTATATAGCTGTTTTTAATGTGTTTAGTTTTATAGATTTAATATGGTTTTAACTGATTTGGAACGGGAGCAGCCAAGACATGGTGAGAAAATGGGTAGCGAGATAAATGCTTTCAATCAATAAAATATTAACCAAATAAATAAACTTACTTATTTGGTTGTTCCCATCTAATGATGGCACCTCGAGTAGCGATGATTCCTAAAAATAATGTACCACAAGGAGAGTTACTGTGCTTTTAATGTTAAGCCTCACCAGTTGACATCTATGATAAAGTCAATGAAGCTTGCAGCTTTAATACTATTCACTGGAGGGTGGGGGCTTAGCCAATGGAGCTGTTCTGACAAGAAAAATACAGTTTGCTACAAGTAAATCCCAACTTATGATCACATAAGGAAGACAGCTGATAATTGAGTTATACCTGATTCTGCATCACTTTTTTTGCCACAGTTGTTAAGTGGATCATGCAATCATTAAGCAAATCCAGCTTTCCCCCATTAGATTTACTTATCAGAAGCTGGCCAAGAAGGTTGCAAATAGCAATCGCATGACCCTGATGGGACACTGTAACGCTTATAAATACACGCTGGTTACCAAAGCCTCAAATTTTGATCAGATGACTGTAGGGCTGCTGCAAATGTTGTGTGAGGACAGGTCAGTTGTGGGATTTAAGTAATTTAACAACCGGTTCTTTGCCCTAATGACCAGCTGGGTAGGCGTGGTTTGGTGGTCATGTGACTGGGTGGGCATGGCCAACTCAACATCACTCAGGTTAATGGGCGCTTCGCCTTAGCTGTTACAATGTAATAAGGGTGAACCGGAGAGGCAGTTTCTGTAAACAGGGCTGTAAAGATTAGGCTAGAAACAACACCAGAATGTTTCCTCGTGTCTCCAGGATCTTCTTCCCACACTTGGAGCCGAACCCAGAAG